AGAGATCAAATTGCCAACATCTGCTGGATCATTGAAAAAGCAAGAGAGTTCCAGAAAAAGATCTATTTCTGCTTTATTGACTACGCCAAAGCCTTTGACTGTGTAGATCACAATAAACTGTGGAAAATTCTGAAAGAGATGGGAATACCAGACCACCTGACTAGCCTCTTGAGAAACCTGTATGCAGGTCAGGAAGCAACAGTTAGAACTGGATATGGAACAACAAACTGAATTCCAAATAGGAAAAGGAGTATGTCAAGGCTGTATATTGTCACCCTGTTTATTTACCTAATATGCAGAGTACATCATGAGAAACGCTGGGCTGGAGGAAGCACAAGCTGGAATCAAGATTGCCAGGAGAAATATCAATAACCTCAGATATGCAAATGACACCACCCCTATGGCAGAAAGTGAAGAAGAACTAAAGAGTCTCTTGATGAAAGTGAAAGAGGAGAGTGAAAAAGTGTTGATAGTTACATGTGTTTATCCTCCCACTTTTGTGCTATGTTTTTTCATTTTTTAAATAATGTTTCTGGTGAGATTAAGTTATTTAACTAAGGCAAGTATATCCATTTGTCCTTTGTGGTTTCTGCATTTATGTTCTGGTTAAAAATCTTTCATTATCCCGTGGTCATTAAATAATCTTTATTATCATATAAAAGCTTGTTTTACCTTTCACACAGAGGTCTCTAACCTGCCTGGAGTTGGTTCTTTGTGTGGTAGGAGGTAGATTCCAATGTTATTTTATTTGTCTATGGTTAATGGCCTTACCATCAATGGTGAAAAGATCCTCCTTTCTCTACACTTCAGTGTGAGCTCACCATTCCATTCCTTTGGGCTATTTATCTCTGCATTGAGACCCACTTGTCTCAATTGCTGTAATGTTTTTTTGTTGTTGTTTAAAGTCGTGATTAGGTTGGAGCAAATGTCCTCATTTTGTTAAAACTCACTTGGTTCTCTTTGGCCATTGCAATCAACTTGTCAATATTCTAACACCCAAAAGAACTGTGACCTGCCATTTAATGGGAAGTGAACATCTCTGAGTCTTCCATAGATTTGTATACATTTATTTACATCTTGGAATTAGTAATATGACCCATATACTCTTATTGTCATTCTTTTAAAATTTCATTTTCCAGTTGTTTGTTTCTGGTATATAGATATAGAATTGTTTTCTGAATATTGTTTTTGTATGCAGTAACGTTTACCAATTCTCTTACTAACTGTAGTAATCAATGTTTCTAGATTTTCTAAATTGCTAATCATATCATCTACAGGTTTCATTTTTATTTTTCTAAGTTTTAATCTTTTATTTCCCTCCTTAGTNCCAGGCCCGAGCACTTGTCTCATGCATCAAGCCTGGGCTAGTAATCTGTTTCACCCTAGATAATATACATGTTTCAATGCTGTTCTCTCGGATTCTTGTTTTAAACCAACCTTGCGCTCCTGGAATATGACTGTTGCTGTAGTGTATTTTCCTCTTAATAAACTGCTGAATTCAGTTTACTATTATTTTGTGGAAGATATTAGCCTTAATATCATCAACAGATTAACTGTGTTACTTCTTCATAATTACCTTGTCAGATTTTGGTATCAATGATATGTTCTCTATGTAAAATAATTAGAGAATGCATTCCATTTTTCAATACTACAGAAGAATCTCTGTGAACGTGGAATAATTTCTTACCAGAATACTCAGTACAATTTAACAATAGAGCAAGTGGGCTTAGATATTCTGCTGTGAGAAGACTGTTTATTATGATTCCACTTATTTAAAATATTGGGGCCTTTACAACTTGCTTGTTTTCCACTTTGTGAGTTTTGACATAGTTTTCTAGGAACTGATCAATTTGCATTCTTCTCTATTTTCATGAATTTTGTATACACATTACAACAAAACATGGACTAGGTTTTGCTACATCTGTGTTCAGGGAGTTTACTCATCCATGTGAAAGTTGCTATCCCAGAATATCTAAAGATTTATATCTATCCCAGAATATCCAAAGATTTATAAGCCAAAATCCTGCCATGAAATAATTCCAAGAAGTACTGTGTGGCCAAAATTTTCTCTTATTCTGGTTCAGTGAATTCTTGCTAACAGGAATTCTCAAGTGTTCTGGGTAAGAATCTGCCAGGAAAACCCCAGGGGAAAGATATCTTGTCTACCTCAGCCCTATAGCTCAGGTAGAGCCTGAGTAATAGACACCCAGGACCACCAGTGGAGTCCGAACACTTATGAAAATGTGACTGAGCATTATCACATGGAAAACAATGCATGGTATAAAAGAACTGCCTCTCTCCCTCCAGAATACACTCACTCACCCATGCTTTCTTGGCTCAACATTGGCAATAAAGATGAAAGAATACAGGATAAAAGAATTCAGGAAATCAATTAAAAAAAAAAGAGCACCAGAATCTCTTGGCTATACGGGTGTCCTATCCTCATTGCAAAATATGATAATTTGGTATCCCAAGAAAACTCACTTATATAGATGAAAAAATACATTCAGGTCCTAGGAAAAACAGAGTATTACCTGATGTCAATCTTGCCAAACTGATGTACAGACAGCTACATCCCAAAGGCCTTAACTCCATACATACTTTCAAACTCGACTCAGCTTCTTCCCNTCCGTCTGGGCCTGGGCCACCTCGCAGCTCAGCGTGGCGCTGGTTCCCGCCACGGCCTGCACGTCACTGCGTGCCAGCTGCTCCTTGGCAAACACCACCGAGGGCTCTGAGGACACAGAAGGGGGAGACACAGGGTCAGAGACCCCATCACAGTCAGGACGGCAGCCCCGGGCAGAGAAGACCTGGATGGGGAGGTGGGAGGGTCCAGGCGGGGGTAGTGAAGCTGGAGACTTTTCCAGGCTCTGCACCAGCCCTGTGCCCTGCAGATGTCCTTCAGACATTCTCAGGAACAAGTGACACAGTCTATGCATTTTCCCACAGGTCCACCTGTATGAGCTGGTCCCACACGGGAAGGTTCGTTGGAGAAGACATCTCCCCGTTTATGACATCTGCAGGATAACAAGGCAAGTATCCCCCAACCTCCCTACATGATGCCCCAGTCTTCTCCATAGGCTTATGCAGGAAACTTTCACCTGCAGTCCATGGAGATGTCTGAGGCTCGGCACCCTTGCCTACTCTCAGTATTGTCAACTGGTAGCAATATGGGAGGAGTACTTCCACCTCCCTGTGACTTTCTTTGTCATCATCTGA